CCCCCATTCACACACAACATGAACACAAGACAACAATAATAAATACATTACAGAAAGTTATTCTAAAGATACTTTACTTTTATTCCGAATTTTTTCAGGGCCTTTATAATGAAAGAATGTTGGACTCTGCTACTGGTCTTTTTTGTGTCTATTGAGATGATCATGTGATTCCTGTTCTTTTTTTTTTTTCTTTTTTTTTATTAAATTATAAAAGTTTCCATTTCAGCCCCTCCTCCCAACACCCTTCCACTCCCCCCACTCCCTCTCCTCCTCCCTCTCTATCCCCTAGAGCAGTCAGGGTTTCCTGCCCTGTGGGAAGTTCAAGTTCCTCCCCCCTCCCTCCAGGTCCAGGAAAGGTGAGAGTCCAAACAGACTGGAGCGCCAAAATCCAGTATATGCAGAGGAAACAGGCCCGTTTTTATGTTGTAACATGTATATTGTGTCGCATATATTGAACCTATCTTGTATCCATGGAGTAGAACCAGTTTGGTCATGGTTTATCATCTTCTTTGTGTGTTTTGGAATTTTATTTGCCAGCACGTTATTGACATTTTTGTGTCCATGTTTATCAGGATAAGTGGTCTACAGCTGTTTTCATTGTCTTGATTTTGATATTATAATAATCCGGGTCTCATGGAATAAGTTTAATAGTGTGTTTCCTATCCTATTTTGTGGAAAAATTTGAGAAGTATTTTAGCTTTTCTTCAAAGATTTGTTAGAATTTAACAGTGATTCTGTTTAAGACCAGTTTTTTTTTTGTTGTTTGTGAGGAGAGATATTATTACTCAATCTTATTGCTTGCTATATACCTGTTTTAGTTATTCATATCTTCTTGATTTAATTTGGTAGGTCATATATGTCTAGAAATTTATCATTTTGTCTAGATTGGAATGCAGTATTTCAAAGTATTCTTCAGTCAGCCTCTGGATTTCATTGAAGCATGTCAGTATCTTTGTTTCTGTCTCTGATTTTGCTCATATGGGCCTCTCCCCTTCCTGTTTTTGTTAGCTTGGTTAAGGCTCTGTGGACCTTACTAATCTTTCCAAAGAATCACCCTTGAACCATTCATGGCTTCTGCCCTGACTTTCTTATTTCTTGCCATCTGCTGCTTTTGGGGGTTGGATAGTTCCTATTATTCAAGACTCTCGGGTGCTTCATTGGGTTATTTGAAATACTCATTAATTTTTCACATAAGCACTATAAACTTTTCTCGTAGAAATGCATTAGCTGTATCCCACAGTTCCACTTAATTATGTTTTCATTTCATTTTCTTTAAGAAAATTTAAATTTCTTAGGGCTGGAGAGATGGCTCAGAGCTTAAAAGCATTGCCTGCTCTTCCAAAGGTCCTGAGTTCAATTCCCAGCAACCACATGGTGGCTCACAACCATCTGTAATGGGGTCTGGTGCCCTCTTCTGGCCTGCGGGCATACACACAGACAGAATATTGGACATGTAATAAATAAATAAATATTTTTAAAAAAGAAAATTTAAATTTCTTTCTTGATTTCTTCACTGACTTGTTGTTCATTCAAAAGTATATTGGTCAGTTTCTAAGAAACTATGTAGTTTTTCTTCCTATTAATTTAATTTTACTATGATCTAATAACATCAAATAAATTATTCTGGTTCCTTTGTCATTTTAAGATTTTCTCTGTAGTCTAGAATATGGTTTATTTTTGAAAAAGTCTTGTCAGTTTCTGAGAATAATAAGTATTTTTTAATCTCTTAAAGCACATATTGCAAAGACATCTGCTAAGTCCATTTAGTCTACATGCAACTTAGTTCTGAAGTTTCTTTGTTGATTTTTACTAAATATTTGTTTGCAATTTTTGAGATTACAATGTAATTTCATCATCTCATCCCTACAGCCTTTACCATGTACTCCCATTCTCTCTCAAATTCATGTCCTCTTTTCTTTTATTGTTGTTGTGTGCCGTGTGTGTGTGTGTGTGTGTGTGTGTGTGTGTGTGTGTGTGTGTGTATGTGTAACTAGGTTAAATATATAAATACAACCTAATCAGTCTGGGTAATGTTATTTTATGTATATGTTTTCAGGGCCGACCACTTGGTATTGGCTAACCAATTGGTATGTTCTTCCCTGGGGAAGACTTTCTCCCACTCTCAACAGTCCTTAGTTGCCTGTACCTCTTTGTCTAGGTTTGAGGTCTCAAGACCTGTCCTAATATGTTAGCATGTTTCCTGGTGTCATGCTTCTCAAAGTCTTGTTTAGATGACTATGTTGGTGTTTGGGACTTCCATTTGGTTGAACATCTAACATATATTTTTTCTCTTTGTCTCTGTTTCTATTTGCCAGTGAGGTATGTTCTTAGAGACCAGAGAGAGTGGGTCTTATTTGCAGTCCACTCACCTAGTCTCTGTCTCCTTATTGGTAAATTGAGGTTGTTCATATTTAAGGTTATTATTAGAAGATGTTTGCCAATTTCTATAATTTTTAGATTGTTTTTCTGGTTGGTAAAATTGTCTTTGTTATTTCTGTCTCTTCTGTTAGTCCTGTAGGCTTTTTGAACATGCTGCATTGGACATGATAGATTTTTTTTTTCCAGTCGCCCTCTGTTTTTTTTTAATATTTATTTATTTATTTATTATGTATACAGTATTCTGTCTACATGTATGCCTGCAGGCCAGAAGAGGGCACCAGACCTCATTACAGATGGTTGTGAGCCACCATATGGTTGCTGAGAATTGAACTCAGGACCTTTGGAAGATCAGGCAATGCTCTTAACCACTGAGCCATCTCTCCAGCCCTCGCCCTCTGTTTTTATTCTTCTCATAAACTTTACTCTGTCCTGAGCTGTAATCACTGAGACTTTCTTCCTCCTTCATGTGTAGTTTTCATTTGAGTACTCATGAGCTGCCGTAGTGTGCTTTTATTCTGAAATATTCTTTTAATGTTAGTTTAAAAATACAACTTTGGTTGATGGAGACAGCAAACTCGGTTCTCGGTTATTGGCTTTCAGGTTTAGGAAGGCGTCATTCTGTGCTTTTCTGGCTTTGTGGTTGCTGACGTCAGAGCTGATACTGTACTCAGGTGTGTTCCTTTGTTAACAAGTTGTTGTTTCCCCTTACACCCTTTGTGTTGTTCTTTTGCTTTTTATTTTTGACATACTAAATCACGGAGAGGTTCTTGGGGTTCTAAACATCTGTTTCTTTCTCTAGATTAGGGAAATACTTTGCTGTAGTTTCGCTGAAAAGATTCTTCTGTCTCATGGTTTCTTGTTTGGTCTTTACAACTCTCTCCCTTTTCCACTATGACCTTCTTATCTTGTTTGGAACATATCCCTCTCCCTCCCACCGCAGAGTCCTGGGCCTGTCGTTCTCCCTGTCCCAGGTGCCTTTACTCCCCATCTTCCCTCCATCCCTTCTTTCACTGTGTCTATGACTTTCCGTACCTCTTACTGCTTTAATAACTTTTTAAAAAACATTAATAGTGGCCCCACCCTACCTCCCTTGAACCCTGCCTTGTTCTCCACAGACCCTGGAAAAAACTTCTCCTAGTGCTAAGTAGCTCATTAGAAGACAGAAGATTTGGACGTCATTAAGGATGACCTTTTTCAAAGCCATCCTTGGTCTTCAACTTCTGAATTCCCTAAGACACTGATTTTCAGGAAGGGGAAAGTTTTATAATTGTTCTTCCTTGGAATCTGAAATACCATGTAGAAGATGGGGGTGTAGAAGATGGGTGGAGTCACAATTACCTCAGACCTTGAGATTTAAGTGACACACGGAAGAGAATGCTGGAGGTAACTGAAAACTCAAGAGAGGAAAAGTGGTTTTCTCTACTGTTTTGTACTGTGTGCATTCATATGTGTATGCCTGTTCTCATATGCATGGGTACAAATGCATGTGCACATGTGTACACATGTGTGTGTAAGCCTGAACTTGTATTAGGGACCTCTACTTTATTTATAGAGCCAGGATCTCTTCTGGATCCTGGATCTCACCAGTTCTGGCTATTCTGGATATCTTCTTTGCCTTGGGGAGCAGCCTCTGCCTCTCAAGCTCTGGAAATTTAGGTGACCATCATGCCTGTTTGGCTATGTGGGTTCTAGGGATTAGAACTCCAGTTTATGCTTGTATAACAAGCACTTTTATTCACTGAGTTTTTTTCCCCAGCCCAAGCTTGCCTTTATTTTTATTTATTTTTGTATATAGTGTTCTGCCTGAATATGTGTCTGCAGGCCAGAAGGGAGCACCAGATCTCATTGTAGATGGTTGTAAGCCACCATGTGGTTGCTGGGAATTGAACTCTGGAAGAACAGCTGGTGTTCTTAACCTCCAGGCCTAAGCATGGCTTTATTTTTATAGATTTAAAAGAATTATTTTCTTTCTTTAATTCTCAATGGATCTGGATCATTCTTCTTGCCCTGTATCATGTAGCAGAGGTTCTCTAGTAAAGAACAGAGAAATATTATTATCTTTTCCCTTATGAGTTAATCTAAATGAGTCATCAATCACATTCATTCCTCTAAAATCCAGAAACACTAGAAAATAATACAAAGCATATTTACTCAAATAGGTTAGAACAGTGCCCTTATTAGTCTGTTTTCTAATTTATACTCTATATATCTCATCTGAATTCATTCAGCAGAGAACTGAGCAGCCAGAGAAGGCCCAAGGGAGATCTTGGTAACAATAGTATTTACCAGTACCTCAAATTATTTCTGAATTAATTTGTTTATTTGTGTTGTTGTATGACTTTTCTTCCTATGAATACATAGGTGTTTACATGAAATGCTGACAGACAAAGGATACCACCAAAGTCTAACACGAGAAAGCAATGGGTTTATTGGGGGTATAAGAACTTTGGCTGACTTGAAGGCAACATCAGTAACAGTGCCCCCCTCTCTCATCATGGAAGATGATGTACAAAAAGCTGAGCCACCAAGTCATCCCAATCCCTTTGCACCTTTCCCTGTCCTATATAGACTCTTGCACTCTTCAAGACTATGTATGTACAATAGACACAGGATTCCCTGCAGGGAGGCAGGAGGAAATGGTGACTGGAATCTCCCTCCTTCTAGAAGGTAAGGATAACAGACTTATCACCATGACAACTGACCTTGATGTCATTGTATTCTTCTGTTTGTGTCATTGCCACGACTGAGGGACAAAGTCCTCTTTTGGAAACCACAGAGTCCTGCATCATTAGGGAGATGGTCATGTCACATCTGCAAGAAATAAATTCACCATGAGAGAGCAGATCATCTTCTGAACTAGAATGTGTACTCCATCTGATCACTCAGTGTGATGATGGGTTTTGGTTGAATCCCAAACACAACAGTGAGTGCCAGGAACTCCGTCAATTTCTATGGTTGAGTGGATGTATACACAGATTGATCCGTGGCGAAGAAATGTTCAGATTTTTAAAAAATAGTTATTTCACATCCATTTGGAGCTACCAATGAATCTCTTCCTGTAGGTAACTTTGTTCTAATGCTTACACAGAGAAGCCTAGACTTCTTCAAATATTTTGTGCGTAATAACATGACTAATTCAGGCTAGAGTTGCTCCCAATTAGTTTGAGTTGGCTTTCTGTACCAAAACTCAAGCCACACATCCAGAGTACTCATTTTTGAAATAGCCATTTATTTAATATGTACTATTAGAAAGAGATTTAACAAATATGAGTGGTCTGAGCTAGCTGCACAGCGGGCGCTGGCACTGGGGGGCTGGGATATAGAACAAGCTATTCTGAGGAAGATGGAGGAGAAGCAGCCTTAGGGTTGAGTGTTTCCAGTAAATGATGTGTTTCTTTCTGATTTCTAATCTCAAATTGTCTATGCTACTGCATCCCATCACTGCTAGGCTGGGCTCAAGAGGGACTTGTGCAGTGATTCTCAGCACAATCACAGAACTAGATACGGCCATTTCCCTCTCCAGGTGTGAAAGGTAACACACAGGCGCTGCAGATGAACGGTGTGAGCGCTGCAGATAAATGGTGTGAGCGCTGCAGAATCAAGATTTATGAATATCATATCTGACTCCAAAGTTAACCTCTCTCTGCTCAAATCTGTACAGTTGCTCTTCTCATGCTGGTCATGGAGCATAGCCCGACAAATAATATCTGGGAGTTTCCGTAAACTGATGTTCATGGCCCACCCCTAATCAGGCCGAAACCCAGTTCAGTTCCCGTTGCAATGGAATTTTACAGGTGGGGGTCAGGGCAGTGGTTAGTTATTCCTCATGAAAAGGCCATGAAAGAGATTGCATGGATGTCTCTCTCCTGGGCAGTCTGTGAGCCTAAAAATAGCTCCTTCAGAAACCAAAATCTACAAAAGCTTTGCTTGATCCTAGCCTTCCCAACTGCCAGGATTTTGAGAAACGCCTTTCTGCTGCTGTCTCTAACTGGTTTCCCCCTATGCTGTTTCTGTTACAGCAGCCCTACTGGGCTAAAGCACACCAGGAAAGGGAAAGAGCTCTTGAAAATGCAAGCTTATTCAGTTTCACATAGACTCGTCAGGCTGTGCCCTACTTCCAAGTCCCATGCTTCCTCTTTTTCCGTGTCCCTCACTAAGTGTTTGCCAGCCTGGTTGGAGAGACAACATGTTTCCAATTTTCAGCATTCAAGTATTGTTGTGCAAGAAATTGCTCTTGTCTGCTGGTTTTTATGTCATTGTGTGATGCAGTTTCAAACCAGAACATTCTTCAGGGCCTTGTCAGATGCTGATGGCCCCATTAGCACAGGCTAAGCTCTCACTTACTTGAGCCTTTGTTCAAATATTCGTCCCCACAGAAGCCTCCCAGAAGATCCTCTCCTTGGCGACTTTCCTCTAAATCTTCACCTCATTTGATTTTCTTCCCTAGTTATCACCGATTGACTTTTATTTTAAATAGATACCATCTTATTGTAGAGAAATGAAGTAATCTCGATAGGAAGAAGGACTTGATTTTATTCACCAGAGTGCAGACGAGTTCCTGGCACTGGCTGTTCATCAAATGAGTGATGGGTGCCTTCACCTCCAGATCCAAGGATACTTTGGCTCCCATGTGGAAGTAGCAGTTGGACATCCTTGCTTTTGGAACATTATATATGGTAAAAATCACTTCCTGAAATACTTTTATTCTATGGTTATTAATCTGTAGCTAGCTTGGTCAATACTGAGAACCAGGCCCTCTTCTTTGACTAGGATCCAAAGCATACATCCTAAGCAGCGTCATGATGGGTGAAGTCAATAATCCACAAATGTCACTTCCATCCCTGATGGTATCTAATGTAAGCGGCCCTGAGACATAGAGAAACAGTCACCAGCTCTGAAATCATATAATGGTGTTCTTCTCCCAGAGTCCAAGGTGACCACAGTGCGGGATGGACTTAAGTTCTCAGCGGTCCTCTGGCCCTCGATTTCCTTTTGACAACCTTCTGGCACTGTTTGCCTCAAGAACAGAGTCAATGGTAAGCATTTTCTAGAAGGACTCAAAAATAATTGAACATGTGTATTTTGACCTCCAGTTGCTTCAGAAGGTATTCATTCAATCGTGGGAAAGGCAGCAATGAATGTGATCAACTTCCTGCCCTCGTCGGTATCAATTCATTGTCATGAGAGTAAAGATAGCTTTGAAGGAAGAGCAATGCTTTTGGAGCTGTGATTTACATATTCATCATGGAAGTATAATTTTAGTCATAAAAGTTGTGCTGAGGCCGTATATGAGGAAAATATTATATATCAGTGTTTGTGGGGATTCTCCAGGGAGAACATAATTTCCCAGTGTCCTGCCCTTGGGTGTGGGAAGGTAACCCCAAGCTAGGAAGCGGTATCCAGCCCAGACTCTGATCTTAGTCTGTTGGTTGGGGTCCATGATGTAGACCCCGCTATGGGTATTTTAGCTCCAAATTCCACGGCTCCCAGCAGCCTTGTGTGTATTTGTTTCCTCGGCCTGTAATAAGCAGCCTCATCCGTGAAGGAGTTTCTGTCCACATTCAAACAGTCTGAGTCTTTAGAAGACGCTCCAGCAAAGCTCTCAGAGTGTGCTTAGAGGGGATAATCATCTCCAGGCAACCCTGGATAGACCTAGGAGCTGTCATTGCTGTCATCTTTCCGTAAAACGCCAGGCCCTTTGGAGTGTTCATAAATGGGCATTTTCATGCAGAGTCCATCATTTTGAATTGAATTTCAATAACCCCTCTGGTGGCTGCCTGCCAGCCTGAAAACGTCCGTGCTTGTGAAGCGAGCCTCAGTGAGTCTGTTTGGAAGCTGGCTGGCTCTGGTTTTAGCAACATACTAAGCCGAGCCCAGAAAATATTTTGTGATATTTATTTTTACAGTATGAATGAGCAAAACATTCAAGAAAGTGTTGATGGGGCTCCAGCTTTCAAACTCTGGCTTGGAAAGTAGAAGTTTGGGTTCTCTCCTCGAGCCCCCAGCTTGCCCTGTTCTCCCCCTTTTCCAATGGTGGCGGATTGTTGCTGGCGTTGGCACAGGCAGCAATGTGTTGAAATGCTATAAATTACAGTTAATGTGATATGATTCTGTTTACCCCTGTCCAACAGTGTTGAACCTACCAATTTTTCCTCCTTGGCTTCCCATGAATTAAGGCAATCAGAGAATAGCCAGTAGGAAGGCTGGATCATTTTCTTTTCACTCAGTGTCAGAGACAAGTGCAAATGCTGAATTCTGGCTCTAAAGGAAAGGTCGTTTGGCTTCAGGGAGGCGTTCAGAGAAAGCCCTGGGCACCGCCACATTTGCTTTTGAAGAAAAAGGATTCTGTTCTGGGATGTAAGGGGTTGAAAGCCTGACTCAGTTTCCCAGATAAGATTCACACCAATAAAACTGAAATGGGAAATAATGCCAAAGATGTCCTAACTGAAAGCTGAATTATAGACAGACGACTGGCGTCTTTGATTTTTCTCATTCAGAGCCATGGGAATCTCCCTTGGGAGAAAATAACCAGTGGAAAGCACCCTGTGGGTCCCTGGCTCCTTAAAGAGCACCGCCCCTTTATACGTAAGGCGACTCCACCGGAATACAAGGAACTCAGCAGCTCTGCTTGCCACAGCGCTTACTGATCAGACTGACTTAGTGGCCCCAATGCCAATGATAGGTTATGTTGGCCAAGGGTTGTACTGGTATTTTATTTGTATTTTAATAAAGTTTTCCTGAAGATCAGAGTGCAAAGCCAAGCCACTAGAGGCCAGGGACTGATGGCACTCACCTTTAATCCTAGGACTGAGAGACAGAGGCTGACGGATCTGTGTGAGTTCAAGGCCACCCTTGATTAAACAAGATCATTCCAGAAACAGATCCAGGTGGTGATGGCTCACACCATTAATTTCCATTTTGGGGAGTCACACACCTTTAATCCCAGCACCAGGGAGGTGGAGACAGGAGTGATATGGCTGGGTAGAGAAAGGAATATAAAGAGGAAGAGACAGGAACTCAGTGGAGTGTGCTGTCTGAGGTTTGATGGAGACACAGTGCAGTCTAGGCAGTCTGAAGATCCCCCTTGGGTCTGAGCGTTGGTAGAGGTAAAAAGTCACTCTAATGACTGACCACTCCGCTTCTCTGATCATCAGCTTTGGCCACTATATCTGTCCCTGGGTTTTTATTATTCATGCTAGAAAGCGTGACTTTGGTCAGATTTTTCTAAGAATCCAAAGAAGCAACAGTTTTGTTTTCATGGTTATTGAAGTTCTGAGAAAGTGCTTGACTTGGTCTTTGAAGACATCTTTAAGAAAGCAATCTAACTGGGGAAAATTTCAGATTACTGCGCAATCTAATTGCGCTTTGATTAAGTGACTGAGAATGAAGAGTTGTGTCTTGAACGACTGGTGGAAAACAGCGGAAGAAAATGCTTTTTCTAGCCCACAGCTAACAATTAGCTTTGAAAAACCTTTGGAAGACAGGCTCAGGGAATAAGTGTTTGCCTTGCAAGCATAGACACCAGAATTCTATCCCGAGAATTCATATGAAAACCAAATTCTGATTGTGTTGCTTTCGAGCTGCGGTCTCAGCGGTAAGTGTTGTAGACAGGTGGAACTTGTGACTCACTGGTCAGCTAACATAGCCTAATAGTGATGCTCTGGACCAGTGATCCCGTAGTAAGATGCAGATGCTGTACTAGATGTAGGAGAGACACAAGTTTGACTTGGTCTTCATCTTTGAGATACTTTTTTGTGAGTGGTAGAAAATTCAGGCATATAAAGAAAACCTCACAATAGGAAATGGTAAATTGAGGAACAGAGAGAGCAACTTCCTCCCTTACGGTCACCTCTCTCTCTCCGCAGCTTCTCTTCGCTTGCTTTCAATTACCCACAATCACCTGCAGTCTGAAAACATCAAATGAAAACTTCCAGAAGTAAGCAGTCTACAAATTTTGAGATAGTGTATTATACTGAGAGCACAATGAAACTTCTACCAGGGATGTGACCCGACCCTTTGTCCAGAGTATACACACAGGAAGGATATGCTCACTGCCTGTTAGTCGCGCGGCTGCCATCCTGATTGCAGCATTGACCATCACAGTCTTTCAGGAATGTGTTGATATCTAATGATCAGACAGTAACAGAATGATACTGGCAGTTCTGATGTGCCAATGAGAAGCATCAAAGAGAGTCATTAAAAGACAAAGGTGAATGTTCTCCACTTAGAGAAAAAGGTATATGCTAAGGTTGCTGGATTCATAAACGTGATGTGCAAAATAACATTGAGAGAGACCATACAGTCACATAGCCTTTGGCAAAGTAGTCTGGTGCTATTGGACTACTTCCTTACTGCCATTGTTCTACTGGTTTCTACACTGAGCTGTTTTGGGGTAGGTACGTATATGAAGAAACATGCTCAATTTCATTTTTCGCTTGAGACATCCATAGACGTCTTGGCGCAGGACTTTTACTATGTGCTGTGCTATACTATGGTCAGGCCATGCACCACTATATGTCTCTCTGACACCTACTCAATGTGGGCATTTACACCTTGAGTTGCTGGCCGCTGAGTTCCATCTTACTAGACATGCCACACCTGTGGTTACAAGAGCCAATTCTAATCATGGAGACCAAGATTCAAATATCACAAAATACCAAGGAGGTCAAAGTTATGATAAATACTACCAGAAAAAGTGACACGGAGTGAATTCCAATTGGTTTTAAGAATAAAAACCCTGAGTCAGATTTAAGGTTTAATGCTGAAAGATAAGAGACACAGAGAAGCCAGCCACCTGTTCTTACCTCTATCAAATCCTCAGACTGAATAGGCAATCCTGCCTCCATGAATCTTCAGACAGAATGCAATGAGCTCCTATCTCTTCCTGTATTATATTCATTTCTCTCTCTGCCCAGTCATATCTCTTCCGATCTCTATCACCCTGGTGCTGGAATTAAAGATGTCAGTCACCATTGCTTGGCTCTGTTTCTCTTTTAGAGTGGATCAGTTTCACATAGGCCTTGAATGAACAAAGATCCCTCTACCTCTGTTTCCTGAGTGCTGGGATTAAAAGTGTGCGCCACCACTGCTTGGCCTCTATGGCTGACCAGTGGCTCGCTCCACACTCTGATCTTCAGACGAGTTTTATTTGTTACAGCACACCCAAAATCTCAGCACAGAGGAGCTCAAAAAGTGCTTCACAGCAGTTTAGAATTCATCCTGGAAGTTGTTGGAGGCTTTGAGGTTATCCTCGAACACCGGGTGAGAGGAAAGCATTCCAAGAACAGGCCAGTGGGTGAGAATGATGTGTGCCCCTAACACCAAGCTGGGGGAACACTGTGGTGTGATCAGGAGGCTGCCAGGCCCAGAAGGACTTTTTAAAAGCCAGGTAGAGAGGCAAGCAAGAGCCACCGAGTGCAGACTCTGGCAACCTTGCACTTTCTTCTGAGGACTTTGGTGATATTGAGGAGAATGTTATAATGGCCCTCTATAGAGGGAGAAGCCAGGAGATGGGGAAGTCTCTAGGGCAGAGCTCCAAAGGGTGGGCCACGCAGGTGTCCTGAAGTGCAGGGAGCCGAAAGATGCTTAAGTCATTTAAACTAATAAGCATCATGTGAAGGTGAGGATGGGAAATCAATGGTCCAAGGGAGCCTGATTAATTCTCTCCAGAATATGCAGCTGTCGTTATCTGAGTGAGCACTTATACTCTATCAGTGAAAAATAAAGAGGAGATGAAACCATGAGCCTTGGCCGAGAAAACTACACAAAGTTCTAACGTGAAGCAAGCCCAGCGTCTTGCAGTGTGTGTGTGTGTGAGCTTTGAACAGGTATGAGCCCCAGACTCATATGTTTGAATGCTTTACCCAGAGAGAGTGGCGCACGTGGCCCTGCTGGAGAAAGTATCTCACCATGGAGGTGGACTTTGAGATCTCATATATGCTCAAGCCATGCCCAATGAGAGAGTTTACTTCCTGTTGCCTGTGGGTCAAGGTGTAGGACTCCCAGCTTCTTCTCCAGCACCATGTCTGTCTCATGTCACCGTGTCCACCGTGATGATAATGAACTAAACCTGAAACTGTAAGCCAGCCCCAATGAAATGTTTTCCTTATAAGAGTTGCCATGGTCATGGTGTCTTCACAGCAATAGAAACCTTAACTAAGACAATGTGTGTCAGGCGCAGGGGACAAGCTCACCCAAATTCAATAATGGGACTTCAGAGGTGAAGGAAAGACTGTGTTTTGTTGTGATAACTACTCACCTAACACACACTTATAATGATCCATTTTAACGAACATATCTGACCCAAGATCTTGGTCTCAAATACCTTTGCCTACTAAAGAGACCCAACATCCCTAAGAAAATGGGAAGAATGTGAATGTTAGCTGGCCCTGGAATATGTCGAGTGTGTATGTATGTATATGTTCCTGTGTGATAGTATATGTGTATGTGGATGCACATGTATGTGAATGAGTGTCTTCCTCAATAGTTTCTCCACCTTAAGTTTTGAGAGAAGGGCCTTTTCCTGAACCTGAGGTCCCTGGTTCTGCTAGACTGGGGCCAAGGAGCCCCAGGGATGCTCCTCTGTCTTCACCTCCCTCCCAGCCATACCCTGCTGCACTCAGCTTTTTACAAGGTACTGGGACAGGGGATGGAAGATTAGGTCTGCGTTTGCTCAGCAAGAACTTTACTAACTGAACCATCTCCCCAGCCCTTCTGAATCTGCTGATACTAACTACTGTTTGCAGTTCACAGTCAGTGCCCCAACACTCTGGCCATTAACTGGTGGGAATTTTGGTCCTGCTATTACCAGTTCTGCCACTGCCACCAAATCTGAGTTTCTGTTGTTCTATTTACCAATAAAGATGGCAGTCAGATTTTTGGTGAAAACTGCTAGATCGGCGAGGCCCAGAAGCAACCAGCTGACTTTCCTTTTCTGCCGGAGACCCAACAAGAGAGCATCTCTCCAGCCCTCCCAAAACAAGACAAAAACAAACGAACAAAACCCTGTTAAACTCCATGTCCCTCCCTAATCCTTCCCATGCATCTCTCTATCCATCTTCCTGACTGCTCTGCACTCTAAGGCTAATTCCTGTCAAGTAGTTCCTGACTGTGCCCCCAGATCCAAGGTTGATTTTATTAACAGTCTCTGGTTTCACAGTGCGATCAAATATCCCACAACATCCCATCCCAGAATACTTTTGTCGTTGTTCCAGAAAGTAAATAAGCAATAAAGGAAAGGAGTGAAACAGAAAGGGAAGAAGAGAGATAAAGGCAGAGATAAGGAGATAATGGTCAACTTGGAGAGACTCAACTGTCTAAAATGAGAAAAATTGGGCACCACTATAAATGAAGGACAGAGATGGATTATGAACCATCTTGAAAACCAAAAATCCAAGTCCATATAGTTAATAAATAGATGAGGGAAAGAAGAGGTTTTACCTACAGAAAGATGACACAGACTAGAGAGCATCTAGGAAGTATCGTCCCCACAAGAAAGCTTAGATATTCCCTGTTACTAAATACAGGAGGGTATTCTAATGAGTAGCGGGATGATTGACGTATTTCAAAGAATAATCATAAGTGTGAAAGGAGTGGACTTCACGGTTGAGAAATTAGGTGATACTTGGGTGATCAATGCTGTCATCAGCAAGGGGGCAGATGCTGTCCAATGCCCCAGGAGTAACATTCATTCATCCATCCCTCTAGTCTTTGACTTGAGAAGACATTAAAACGAAGAACAGAAAGAAGAAAGCCTCACACGAAGAGGGGAAAATGGCCAATGAATTAATTTTTTAAAACTAGGGCAATTGAATTGGCAAATTTAAAACTAGGGTAATTTAATTGGCAAATTTAGCCAATTCAGGGTGTTGTTGGTTTTTCTTCTTCTGATATTATTTAAAATATTAATTTCCTTTGCTCCAAGATAGAAGCAGGATCCATCATACTCTACTGCATGATTAGCGTGTTGAAGACTCCTAGAGTGCCATTGGTAAATCCCGCTGTGCTGCATACATGGCAGTCTCGGGTCTCGGAATGGATTCTAGAACACAGCACCAGCAATCTTGCACAAGCAATCTTGTCCTAGTGCTCTGGTCCAAAGTAATAACCATCTGTCTCAGTGCCCTGAAATTTACATATAAAATTTATACATGTTTAACAGCCTAAAAGAACTCAATTTCTGATTCTCAATTTTTGCAGTTGGGAATCCAGGCATAGCTTTTCTTCTCATAAGTGGCCGTGTTGTACTGGCTGGGGACTTGCCTGAGACAGGGATAGTGGAGGACGCACTCCCAAGCTTACAGGGTTGTAGGCAGCCTATGGTTATTGTCAACTGTCAGATATAGGTTGTCTCTAGCTTTCCATTAGGAGTTTTCTTCCTCCTTTTATCCTTTCTTTTATTCTATGTATGTATGTATGTATGTATGTATGTATTATGTACCTGCATGGATGTGTGGAGCCCAGAAGATAACTTGTGGGAACTGGTTCTTTTTTTCCTCTCTGGGGGCTCCAGGGAACAAACTCAGGTTGTCAGCCTTGGTGGCAAGCACCTTTATCTACTGAGCCATCTTGCCAGCCCTTTCTTTTCTTTCATCATGATAGGATCCAGGGCCTAAGCCCATGCTAGGTAAATGCTCACTGAACTCCATTACTAGCTCAGAAATGGGGATTTATTCTTTTGCTTTATTTGAATGATTAGAAGTGAGTCCCTAAGCTAGCCCACATGGAGGGGGACACAGAACACAAATGCCAGGAGGTGGAATCATTAATGGCCATTTTAGAATTTACCTCCAGACGAACTGAATGTCCATCAAAGGAGCGAGGTCACATGAATGATGGTTGCTCCCCAGCCCGGCAAGCATGCCGACGGCTAAGGAGCATTGCCCGTGCATGTGCCTGGCCTTGGATGGGATCCTGATAAGCGGATTCAGCAAACAAATGGTTTAGCAGCAACAGACACATTTTAAAACCATTTGTGTGAAAATTTTTTTAATTAAGAATTATCCATTCTTAATCACATATGCATTTAAACACAAAAGAGAAAGCTTAGGAAAAGCTTGCCTAGAAGGAAGGGCGCATGGGCTCAGAGTTGAGGTGTGGCAATAATAGGCATCTCTGATTCTTCTTGATTATTACTTTGGTATTTGCTTTTATTTAAATAGAAGAACCTATCTGTGTACTATGCTGTTTTTTTTTTTAAAAAAAAAAAACAAACAAACAGAACCGTTCAAAAAACCAAGACGGTGGGACACCAATAAACCAGTGATGATTTTCCAAACTGTCACATGCTGTTCATAAACGAGTGCCAACAGCATAGATTCGCTGTGCAAGTTCCTAAGGTCTAATTGGCCTGCTGTCCTAGAGGCACCACAGGTATTTCTAACTGGTACTGGGACAAGGACAGCAGTAAAGGCTGTGTTGTCACAGACCGAGAAGCTGCCAGAGCAGGGCTGCAGGGATCTAGCAGCTGGATCCTATCGAACACCCTTCTTTCCAGACATAAAAGAACCACAGTAGCCACCCAGAGTGAGGTGCTGTGGGGCACTTCTGGGTGGGAGGCCACTGAAAAGGATGTGGGACAAATGGACCCTATTGTGACATGTCTCTTTGTTTTGTGACATACTTTGTCATCAGACTGTGAGCCCAGATGCTCATGGTGGAGGCATATTTGGAGAGCTACCAGCCTCCAGTGACTTCTGGGGAACATGCTGTGAGGGTTTAGAGAGTCAATACACCTGCTCCCCAGAGATTAAGAAGACGTGAGGGAGACCCACAGGGCTGGTGCTGGGGTTGTCTACTGGGATCCAGAATAACTGACTGTCCAGGCTGTTGATCCCAGCTCCTCCTCCCTGGCATGCCTGGACTCATTGAAGCCCTGAAACCTACCAGGGAGGTAGCTGAATTGAGCCTTTCTGTTTGTGGATAGGACCGCT